GTAAATATATCAGAACTTAATGTTTGATTAGTAATATGCATTGCTAAGAACTTCATTTGAACAACTTTAAAGATGATTTTCTCAATATTTAGATTTTTTTGCACCCTCAGATTCCAGATTTTCAAATAGTTGTATTTCAGCCAAATATTGTCCGATCCAAACAAACCATACATCACTGGAAAGCTTATTCACCTGTATGCGTCCCTGCGTGTGTCTGTGAGCGGCCGCGCTCATGTCCCACTGGCTGCAGGATTTAGTCGGGCTGCTGGGGCTCGGGTCCTGGTTCTGGTATGGGTTCTGGGGAAGGTTGCTGGAGCTTTGGCTGCGGGCGATCGGGACGCCGGGAACCGAGAGGTGACCCGAGGGCGAGGCGGAGGAACCGAACAGGGGTAACGTCGGGAAACGTCCTCGCGCTGAGACTCTGTGTTTGTCCATCAAGGCACTGCTGCAGCTGAGATTCTCCATGGAACGACAGAACTGCTTATCAGGCACTGAGAGGAACCACAGACAAAACAGGCCAATTAGACCTTAAAGAGACAGGTCATCCAGAAACGAAACGGGCTTCGTGACTTAATGGAAACTTCAGGAGATCTCTACCTTTTATTATACTGAAATATGAACTTAAAGGGATAGTTCATTCAAAAATTAAATTTTTTATTAATTATTTTAATTAATTAATTAATTATTCTGTCATTAATTACTCACCCTCATGTCGTTCCAAACCCGTAAGACCTTCGTTCATCTTCAGAACACAAATTAAGATATTTTTGATGAACTCCGAGAGCTCTCTGATCTCCGTAGACAGCAAGGATCCTAACACGATCAACGCACAGAAACGTAGCAAGGACATCGTTAAAATAGTGACATCAGTGGTTAAACAATTCGTCTCTCCACGTCACCCTGTAACGCCATTTTGGAGAGTATCACATACATAAACAAATACGTTTGATCTAATAAAGAAAAGAAAACAAAACAAATAGAATACAAAAAGAATAGAGAAGCTGGTGTTAGTTTTTTACATTTTTATTAAAGAAAACAAGCAGTAAGTAAATGAATAGAGTGCAAGTCTAAAAGGGTTAAAAAAAAAATTTAAAGTATAGAATTAGAATAGAGAGTGGTAGAGTTAAAGGGTCAAATAAAGATGGAAGTGATGTGTTTTTAGCCGATTCTTGAAGATGGCTAATTACGGTTGAACCACTGACGTCACACGGATAATTTTAACGATCTCCTTGCTACGTTTCTGTGCATTGATCGTGGTAATATCCTTGCTGTCTATGGAGCGTCAGAGAGCTCTCGGAGTTCATCTAAATATTTCAGAATTTGTGTTCCGAAGATGAACGAAGGTCTTACAGGTTTGGAATGACATGCATGTCAAGGCTTGCCTAGTGATGCTGGAAGCCGGTTTACGGAGAGTGTGTCCTAACCATCTCCAGCGATGTTGGATGATCTCTTCGTCTGCTGGTTTTTGGCTTGTGCGCTGCCAGAGTTCCTGATGGTAATCTGATCTGGAGAATGCACCGCAGACATATGTTGATAAATGTCTGTATCTTTTTGGTGGTGGTTACAGGGGTCCTCCATGTTTCAGAGCTATAGAGCAGCACTGACTTCACGTTTGTGTTAAACACCCTGATCTTTGTTTTGATGGACAAGTCTCTTGAGCTCCAGATACAGGTGCATCTCAGTTGGAGAAAAGCTGTCCTGGCCTTGCCAATCTTTGCTTTCACATCGGCGTCAGTTCCACCCTGTTAATTTATGATGCTGAATTATCATTGTGTATGAAATGTGCTATATAAATAAACTTGCCTTGACTTGCCTAAGTTTCGGCTTTACACGGGCGACAAGGAGATGGTGGTCCGAAGCAACGTCAGCGCCTTGTCTGACACGCACTTCTTGGAGGGACCTCCTGAATTTCTTGGTAATACATACATGGTCAATCTGGTTCTCGGTGGAGAGGTCCGCTGATATCCAGGTAGCCTTGTGTATTTGTTTGTGAGGGAAGACGCTTCCTCCTATGACTAGATTTCTTACGTCGCAAAGGTCAGCAAACCTCTCTCCATTTTCATTCATCTCCCCCAAGCCCTCTCGTCCCATGACCTCCTCATAGTTGTCTCTTGGCCGTTCTTTGCATTAAAGTCTCCCATTACCGTGGTGATGTCTCTTTCTGAGTGACTGTCAGTGATGGTCTGCAATCTGTTGTAAAAGTCTTCCTTATCATCTTCCTCGCTGTCATTTGTCGGGGCATAACACTGGATATTATTCCTGTTTAGTCTTCTCTTCTTAGTTCTAAATGAAGCAGTGTTGAGTCTTGGTCCATGTGCCTCCCATCCAATGAGCGCTCTCTGTGCAGTCTTGGAAAGCATGAAGGCCACTCCCTGGGTGTGTGACGCATTTTCTTCCTCGTGTCCTGAGAACAGCAGTAATTCTCATGTGGCGAGCCTTTTCCGGAGTGGATGGATGGAGGATGCTGATGTTATAATTCCTCATCTCCGCTGCCACCTGCGCTGTCTTTCCAGATTCAAACATGGTGCTCACAATGCATGTTCCGATGATGGTGGTGGTCCTGGTGGAAATGATGGTCTTCGGCCTGGTAGCTTCCAGTGTCTGGCTTTTATTACCCGGCTTTTCCAGCCGGAGATCCATCCTTTCCCAGAACCGATAAGTCAGTTGAAATCCTTGTTGGCATTTCTGTAGCAAGATCTTTTTTACGGGGAGGGGTTGCTAGCCCTTTGCCCAACCCTCCTCCTTTTACATCCGGGCTTGGGACTGGCAATGGCGGAATGACATGAGGGTGAGTAATCAATGACAGAATTTTCATTTTTGGGTGAACTAACCCTTTAATGTAAAACTCCATGAAAGTGAAAAAAAAAACAGTAACGACCCCAAACTTGAATGGTAGTGTATTTATAAAAATTAGATCTACCTGAGCCGTGCGTTTGCATGCAGGGTGTGAGGGAACCTCGTGGAATCATCTTGAAGCTCTCGGATGCTGATTGGCTGGAGGGTAGCGAGGGCCGGAATTGGCTGATAGGCAGCTCAATGACGTATGTCGCTGGCACATATATGGGTTTGACCTTCGCGCCGACCCCGATCCTCCGCGCCTGCCACCAGTCCGCATTGGTCTTTTTCAGCAGCAGAAAGCGCTCGCCCTCGTGTATGGAGACCAGATGGCCGTCAACGGAGCGGTACGAGTAATCATACTGAGCCTCCAGAACCACAGTACTGCCCAGCCTGGACCCCGAGATCACGGTTCCACGGCGCCAGCTTCCCGACAGCATGGTTCCTCTCAGAGACACACGGAGGGTGAGCGTTGGACAAAGACACCACCAGAGCGAGACGACACGAGTGCCATGATCTGAAACAGAAAGGCTTGTTACACTCACAATAAAATATACTGATATTATGCCACACTCTAAAAAATCCTGGGTTAAATATAACCCAGCGGTTGGATAGTTTTGACCCAGCGGTTGGGTTCAAACCAACCCAACCACTGGGTCAAAACAACCCAATACACTCTTAAAAATAAAGGTGCTTCACGATGCCATAGAAGAACCTTTTTGTCTAAATGGTTCCATAAAGAACCTTCAACATCTGAAAAACTTTTATGTTTGACAAAAGGTTCTTTGTGGCGAAAGAAGGTTCTTCAGATTATAAAAAGGTAAGAAAGAGATGGTTCTTTAAAGAAACTTTGACTGAATGCTTCTTTGTGGAACCAAAAATGGTTCTTCTATGGCATCGCTTGAAGAACCTTTTGAAGCACCTTTATTTTTAAGAGTGTAGCTGAGTTTGTCCCTTTTTAACCCAGCATTTTTTAGAGTGCAGTAATCACAGAAATGTAGCATTGCATCACTTGCTCATCAATGGATCCTTTTTATTTGTTTGTTTTATTTGACAAAACTTAAAACATAATACAAGTAACAATTAATCTCCGCACACCTGACGGCAATCGGTAGGTGCGTAGGAGACAAAGACCAAAAAGGTCAAAACTGAAAAACAAACACAAATGCCGCACACTACCAAACTATGCAAAAAGTATCAAAAACGTTTATTTATGACGTTTAATCAGAAATGACTTAGTCCTATACCAAATGGTAATTATCGGTGTGGTAATTGTGCTCAGTGCAATAATACATCAAAAACTTCAGACTTTATCACCTATGGGCATGAACAATGAAGCATTATTTAATGTGATGTTATAATGCATGTGGATTCGGGTGTATATGAATATGTGTATGTATGTAGTATATGTTTTTTTTTGAGTCAATGACGTCACTGTAAAAAATGCTGGGTTAAATATGGACAAACCCAGCGACTGGGTTGTTTTCAACCAACGGCTGCGTTAAATGTTTAACCCAGCCTTCTGGGTAGTAACACAACCGCTTGGTCAAAAACAACCCAATCGCTGGGTTTGTCCATATTTTATCCAGCGCTGGGTTGTATTTAACCCAGCATTTTTTAGAGTGTACCCATTGTGTGTTGTTATTAATCGATGGTCCTTTGCAGGGATTGGTCACAATTTATTTTTACATGTGGTTTAGTTTGTAATTACACGTTTAAAGATACCTGTTGAAGGTCATGCGACTGAAACGTCTTAAATAAACGTTTTTGATACTTAAAACATAATACAAAAAAGTGCAAAAAGACTAATTCATACACATTTCAAAACCGTCGAGGATAAAATACACAAAACAGCCATCGGCTTATTTCCATCGTGGTCCTCGGTATTTAAAAAAATGGACGAACAAATCATAAATGGAGTGCAATCCACATCAAGTTCAGAAACTCACCACACAAACTTCAAAACATGATAAAACAACCATTTTTTAACTTCCCTTCTAAAATCAACTTGTATCTCTTGAATACACTCAGTTAATTTATTCCAAGCAACAGAGCTCGTATATAAGAAAGTTTTTTTTCCCATTTCACTCTTAAACCTACAAGTATATTTAATTACTACTCGCCCTTGTAGAAAGAAAGGTACATAATATTCTAACAGAGACATTGCAGTGAATGGGTGCCGTCAGAATGAGAGTCTAAACAGCTGATAAAAACATCACAATAATCCACAGAACTCCAGTCCATCAGTTAACATCTGGAGAAGACAAAAGCTGAGACACATCCAGCATTAAGATGCTTTTAACTAAAACACGAGTCTGTAATCCATAATAACGCTGAAAAAGTGCATCTGCTGTTGTCTATCACATCAAAATCTAGTCACATATTTGTTTAGAGCTGTTTAAACGCTGCTTGATCTGCGCAGATTTCTCTCCGCTTTTTCACTGGAGGAAGCGTTATTATGGATTACAGACTCGTGTTTTAGTTAAAAAGGTCTTAATGCTGGATGTGTCTCAGCTTTTGTCTTCTCCAGATGTTAACTGATGGACTGGAGTGCTGTGGATTGTTGTGATGTTTTTATCAGCTGTTTGGACTCTCATTCTGACGGCACCCATTCACTGCAGAGCATCCATTGCTGAGACACTGATGCAGTGCTACATTTCTACAAACCTGATGAAGAAACAAACTCATCTACATCTAGGATGGCCTGAGGGTGAGCACATTTACAGCAAATTTGCAATTTTGACTGAACTATTCCTTTAAGAAAGTAGCATACAATTTAATTGAAATACAGCTCATAAAAAACTATGGAAATTAATGCAATTTCTACTTCAAATTCACTCAGATTTAAAAAAACAAAAACAAGTAATCGTTTATCTATTAAGAAGATTGTTGGTAGATTTTAAAACTTAACACATGCTTCTGTTGACAAGGCAGACATGGTCATTAATGCTCAAAATGGACTATTAATTCGTTTGGCCAATATATTGGTCCATTATCAGTTCTAAATTAAATTACCCTCTGACCAAACATATTTATAGACAAAACACATTGTGTAGTTGCAGCGCAGAGTTGATGAAATGTTAATAATTAATTCTATTATTTTAAGAAATTAAATAAAAATAATACTGACTAAAAATATGATTTTTTTTTTAAATGTACTATATTGAAATATTAAATTTAAAACTCATGGGCATCCAACATGACATCTCTTCCATCAGTTGCATTAATAACACGGGTATTAATGCAGCGCTGATATTTGTGGCGTGTGAACTGATGGATGATGGACTGAGAGACTGTGTGCTGTACGCTTGCAACACTGAAAGGCTTTTAACACAAACATTCAGTGTGTGTGTGACTTTTATTTCCTACATTATAGGGACCAAATGTTCCCAAAAAGATGGCAATATCCAAAATCCTTGACCTTGTGGGGACATGAGAAAAACAGTGCATATATCACACAGAATGAAGTGTGTTTTTTTGTGATTAACACTTCATTATGCTTTTGCTGCGAACACATTTACCAGCAACGATAATAACACATTTTCATTGACTTAATTCAGTGTGGACTGATAACAAATATAAAACAGAAACACAAAGGAAAAACAGAAACACATACATAAAAAAGGAGTAACAGAAATAATAAGAGAACATATACATGTGTTGTGTGTGTATACATATATATAAATATATGTAAGGAAATAACTGTAGGCCTATACATAATGTCAGAGATTAATAAAATGCAGGAAGAAAGCGTCTCATGAAATAAAGGTAAAACAAATCACACAAACAAAGAAACCTGCCATCCCACATACCTTAGATGACAACTTTAGAATGAAGTGTTTTGAGAATCTAAAATGCCTGCAGTTTTGTGTGAGGGGTAGGTTTAGGGTAAGAAAATACAGTTTGTACAGTAGAAAAACCATTACGCCTATAGAAAATTAACCCATAAAACATGGAAACACAACGTGTGTGTGTGTGTGTGTGAGAGAGAGAGTGTGAGTGTGTGAGAGGGTGAGTGTGTGAGAGTGTGAGTGTGAGAGAGTGTGTGTGAGTGTGAGTGTGAGTGTGTGGGTGGGGGTGTGTGAGAGTGTGTGTGTGTGAGAGTGTGAGAGTGTGTGTGTGTGAGAGTGTGAGAGTGTGTGTGTGTGAGAGTGTGAGAGTGTGTGTGTGTGAGAGTGTGAGAGTGTGTGTGTGTGAGAGTGTGAGAGTGTGTGTGTGTGAGAGTGTGAGAGTGTGTGTGTGTGAGAGTGTGAGAGTGTGTGTGTGTGAGAGTGTGAGAGTGTGTGTGTGTGAGAGTGTGAGAGTGTGTGTGTGTGAGAGTGTGAGAGTGTGTGTGTGTGAGAGTGTGAGAGTGTGTGTGTGTGAGAGTGTGAGAGTGTGTGTGTGTGAGAGTGTGAGAGTGTGTGTGTGTGAGAGTGTGAGAGTGTGTGTGTGTGAGAGTGTGAGAGTGTGTGTGTGTGAGAGTGTGAGAGTGTGTGTGTGTGAGAGTGTGAGAGTGTGTGTGTGTGAGAGTGTGAGAGTGTGTGTGTGTGAGAGTGTGAGAGTGTGTGTGTGTGAGAGTGTGAGAGTGTGTGTGTGTGAGAGTGTGAGAGTGTGTGTGTGTGAGAGTGTGAGAGTGTGTGTGTGTGAGAGTGTGAGAGTGTGTGTGTGTGAGAGTGTGAGAGTGTGTGTGTGTGAGAGTGTGAGAGTGTGTGTGTGTGAGAGTGTGAGAGTGTGTGTGTGTGAGAGTGTGAGAGTGTGTGTGTGTGAGAGTGTGAGAGTGTGTGTGTGTGAGAGTGTGAGAGTGTGTGTGTGTGAGAGTGTGAGAGTGTGTGTGTGTGAGAGTGTGAGAGTGTGTGTGTGTGAGAGTGTGAGAGTGTGTGTGTGTGAGAGTGTGAGAGTGTGTGTGTGTGAGAGTGTGAGAGTGTGTGTGTGTGAGAGTGTGAGAGTGTGTGTGTGTGAGAGTGTGAGAGTGTGTGTGTGTGAGAGTGTGAGAGTGTGTGTGTGTGAGAGTGTGAGAGTGTGTGTGTGTGAGAGTGTGAGAGTGTGTGTGTGTGAGAGTGTGAGAGTGTGTGTGTGTGAGAGTGTGAGAGTGTGTGTGTGTGAGAGTGTGAGAGTGTGTGTGTGTGTGTGGTTGGTGGGTTAACTGATAATCTCCAGCATGTTCTGATAATCCTCACTATAAAGCAGAATGCTAAATGACCCTTAATGTAGCACAGGCTCCAAATGTCTGAGACCACAAGAGAAAATGCTTTTATGCATCTCTTGTTAATTGTTTTCATTACAAATTATTTTAGCAACATAGCAACTTGAGTTGCATCATCTCATCTGCTGTAAATTGTGCAATGATTCAGTTACTTGAAAAATGAAGGTTCCTTATTGGCACTGATGGTTCAGCCTTTAACATCCATGGAACCTTTCAAATGCACAAAAGGTTCTTTATAATAGAAAAAGATAATTTAGGTTATTAAAATGTTCTTAATAAAACAAAACTAATTTATTTCCGATATTCAGAGATATTCATGTTCTCAGACTCTC